TCTTTTCAGTATATCTGACTTAGTAAAAATTTGGAAAGTCTCCTTTCTAAAGGGAGTGCTGCCCAAATTTTTGCTAATTCAGGGAGTTAGACAAAATTGGACTTTGAGAAGTCAAAGTTACTTTCAAATTTTGAACTTGGCCTTGTATAAATTTTGGAAATAGCACGTTTTCTAAAGGGAGTGCTGCCGAAATTTCTGCAAAACTAAGGAGTTAGTTAAATCTTGTCTAAGTTGGATTCAGGTTTGTTTTTGAGTTCGAATCTGACTTAGTATAAATTTGAAAAGTCTTCATTTCTAAAGGGAGTGCTGCCCAAATTTCTACTAATTCTGGGAGAAAGACAAAATTTGACTTTCCAGAGTTAAATCTTATTTCAGTTTTCATATTAGGACTTATATAAATCCTGGAAAGACACTTTTCCTACGGGAAGCGTTGCCGAAATTTTCTTAGGTTACAGGAGTTGGCTTATATTTTGACAAGTGACAATTATGACGATCCACCCTGGATAGGGGAGATTATGCCATGAGTCTACCTTTCTTTGGGCGCTGACTTAGAGGTAGACTTAGACATAATTAATTAGGAGGAGTCTGAGTGAGACTGTGATATGGAACTCATTCTCCATGAGCTTATGATTTTAGCTAGGGGCATTGACCTGTCTTGTGCTACAGGTCCTCTTCATTATTTAACTCAACATTTAAACTAGTTTCAGCTTGATCTCACGAACATCATCTTATGTTATCACTGATAATAGATCGGTTGGTTGATCGCCGACTTGTCGGCTCACGACACAACTTTGCTTATGCTTGTACCCCCACTTGATTGCCTTAGCTCTGTGATTTAATATATTCTCTTAAAGGGTTTAAATCGAACTTCTTCTAAATGGCCATTACAAAGAACTCGTGAGTTTTATGGAGATTTTGACTATGACCGAGGGCTTGAGTGTGTGAGGCATGGTGTGAGTTACAGGGAAAAGTAAAGTTGACCACATTGGTGTATGGCAATGTGGCTATTGTGTGTGCCTGTGTTTTATGCAGGTTAGTATATTGAAGCTTGGTATATGGGCCATACTTTGGAGGCAATGAGAATGACAACCATGTGTCGCACGATCTGCATACCTGATGGGTCTATGTTTCCCCTTCTTTTATTTTATCTCGAGTTCTGATTTGGTAGATAAGTGGTGAAATGTTTATTTATTTATTGGATAATTTTGCTTGTTAATTTTTATAGTTGGACGTTGTAGTCCGTGGCAGCCGTCAAAGTCAAACCCTTTGACTTCCGTCCAAGCCTGGGGTAGGACTTATCCCCAATTCTGCAAGAGACTACTGCCACCACAGGTATGGACCTATATACCACCCGCTCTACACAGAGTGTAGAAGAGGGTGTGTGGTCTTCAACCGCGTTTGGCGGTTGTCCAGCGTCGAGAGATTAAGCCTCAAGGCGCGTGTCAGCCGACACTTGAGTGTCAAATGCGACCCTCGAGATTAACGAGGACCGCGTAAGTATAGGTACTACATAGTACGCCATCATTGCGACTGCTTGTGTAGGCTAGCATTGCGAGTCAATATGGGTTAGCCTTGCGTCCGTGCGGTTTTATATTAATTCTCGCGAACGACGCCTATTCGATTTCCCCATTGGAGAGTTATGGGATGACTACTAAGGGGCTAGGAGCGTTGTCGCGTTGTTTGTGTTGTGTCGTTCCGTGTGTATAAGTGTGTGTTGTTGTCTCGTGGTTGTTAGAGTGGTGTGCGCGTGGTGTGTGGGATGCGTCCTACTCGACCGATGTCGAGCCGCACTTGGGACTTCAGCCCGCCAAGATGTCGGTTCGCATGCGGGCCCGACAGGCGTATTACCGCTCGTACCCCCTATGCTACAGCGAATGAGAAACGCGCTCGGTTGGTCCACCTCTGCGATTGCAATCGAGTAGCTTTCGTACTGTGGACTGGTAGCTCGGCGGGGATACGCCCACCGAAGGGAGGCGACAACTCCCGTAAGATGGAGGTAAGTTGTGCCTCGCGTAGGCCCTATCGTGTCGTAGGGGCTCGCGAGAGGTATGGCTGGCGCACTCGGTCGGAGCGGCCTAAGGAAGCTCCACTTATGTGTTCGTGACGAGGTTGGTCCAACTCCTGCGTGACGCGGCCGAGAGGATCCCGCGCTACCACGTGCGGTGCCGGACTGATGCGCTCGACAGGTGGCGCTGTTGCCGGGGATAACAGCTGCCTACTGTTGTCCCTGGTGGAACAACATCCGGGTATGGAAGTGGGAAATAGGCAAACGAGAAGTCTAATGGACTTGCATTAGAGACTGACTAATATTTTGACTATCTTTGGGGGTACCATAAAGACTGAGAGGTCCCTAGAAACCAAACCCTGATTCGAGGCAGATTGATAATCCGCGGAGAATGACTGCTTCTGCTCTGTTGACTGGGTTAGGAGGAGTGGTTGATCGTATATGGCGCTGGATAGAGCATGAAGTGAGTATTAATTCCGTGAGTAGGGTTTGGGTGATGCAGTAAGGGTCGCTTGAGGTCAATAAGCGCCGTGACTATGAGCTGTGAGCACTGCTTAGTATGCAATTAAATGAAGTTGAAAGACTCCTTGACTTTAGTGATTGATGAGTTTGGGTAATACTTTGTGGGCTCGATTCGGCTAGGAATGAGTAGGGTGACGCTGACATTGTTAAGTATGCCTATGATTGGAATTCAGGGCTAATTGACTCATTACAGGATCGGTGTGTTAGGCCTGCTTTGGGGGATTGTCAAGTTAAGATGGAGCATTTTCCCTAGTCATATGACCCCTTCTTTAAAGAATGTTGAAAATCTCGAGAAGTAGTGGTGACTAGGATAGCAGTTTGGTTAGTGCGAAGAGAGGCCTATGTGTTAATCAACAGAAAAATTTCCTCGAATTAAATAATCATTCTAGAGTAAAATTACATTCTAAATTCTAAATTTTCATTTCATCTTAAAAAATGTAATTCAAATTTTAAAATTTTCCGTCTTACTTAAAAACTTTCTTTCCAAGAATGGGGTATCCGTTCTTATTTGAATCGCATGCTAGAGATGGAATGAAAGTCTCGATGAGTTCATGAAATATTTTAATTGGACTCATTCTAAGTAAGGATTTTCCGTCATAAATAGGTTAATCCAATCTAAATTAGACGATATTTGTTGTAATAGAATGAAAGTCTAATTAAAACATTTCATAAACTCGTCTTGACTTTCATTCCATCTTGAAGAAATGATGTAGTTGGAAGGGAAAACTCATATTTCGACGGGAACTTATGAAATTAAATTGGAAATTTTAAAATTGAACAAACATTGGAATGATAATTTATAAATATGAAGGATTTTTTTTTTTTATGAAATATTTTTTCAACTTTCATTTCTTATGAGAATTTTTTTGTTGATTATATATGATATATGTATATATGTTATGATTGTTTGCTTGGTTGTCTCTATATATATGCTTTCACTATGTTTCGCTTGATGGCAGATTGATGGCGTATTGATGGCGTATGTATGGATTGCCTTCCACGTGGACATAAATTCTGCATGAAACCCACGTCTGGCCTGGGACCAGGGGTGAATGGGGTGACTTGCTTCTGTGGAAGGTGGTTTTTCCAGGAAGAGGTTAGTCGGCGTGTATAATTTGTCCTCAGTGGAAGCGCATTCTTGAGTTGTTACCCCCTCGATGAGGCTTAAGGAAGCGGTTATTAGTCTCGAAACTGATAGTGAGACCCACGCCGGAACTATATTCCTGGTCCATTAGTGGGGTGTTGTTGTCTCTCCTGTGATGGGAGAGTAACTACATTATCTGTTGAGAAAAGAGGAAAGGACTTGCTACCTCGCCGAGGCTGTGATGGTCAGGTGAAACAACTACTGCTAGTGAGAGTGGATCTGGGGTAGCGACATAGACTCGTCTCTCGCTAAGTAGGGCCACCATATTTGTAAAGGTGCGAGTTCGCTCCTCGTTGCCTTGATAAGTATGAATGGGGTTGTCCACTTGACCATGATAGGGACAGTGAGGTACAAGCACTGGAGTCGGAGAGGGATGCGGTGAGGCTTGATCTTTAGAGCGGGGTTCATGAGTCAAGATGTTATCTGTTGAGAATTACACCGCCCCTCTGTAATATATGCTTCGCTTAAGAGCTGAAGGGGTAACAATTGTATCATGTTATTTACTCATTTGCTAGACTCATTTTGTCTTATTTATTCTGAAATATGTTTTGAGAGTTATCTTATCGCATTACCGACAGTTAAACTTGTCATAATGTTATTTTTTATAAAGCATACGTGCTCTTCAGCTACAGCCCTAACAAGCAATGTGCTTATTATGTTATGGATAAACTATATGTTATTTATTGAGGGTTGTACTGCATTTTAGATTTATGTTTGCGATATCTACCTATATGGCATATGTATATTGTATAGAAATAATATTTTATTAATGCCTGAGTCATGATTTAAGGGTGTATATCAATGAGTATTTATGTTTTATTCTAGGTGGATATTTGTTTAAAAGACTCTCTTCGGTATCGCCGTTGTTTTGAATAGGTTCTTATGCGTGCTCTCGTGATGAGTATCGGGGCAACTTTAGTGAGATATATTCTGCATTAGATTTAGTTGTGTAACCTCCCTCGAATCTCGACCCTAAGACAGCTCGTTGTTTTGTTCAATAGATGAAGGGGTCGAGGGAGCTCGAGATGGAGGGTTCTCAAGGAAAGATCGAGGCCGAGAAACTCGCTTCTCTGTTGGAAAGACGAGATTGGGAGCGAGACAACCTGCCCAAGGTTGAGATCGACTTCTTCAAAGGCGATCATGTTTCTGACTTCCTCGACAAGTTTGAACAGATAGCGTCTCATTGCAAATGGAGTGAGGGACAGATGTTGGAAGAAGTGATAAAGTACATTTGTATAGGCTTGAAGGATGAAGTCAGTGGGTTGGTTTGAAGAGCGGGGTCATCGTGGAGGAAATTCTATGATGACATGTGGAATAAGTACCGGCTAGGTGAGAAACAACTGACCAAAGACGATCTTGAGAAGATAGATCGGTATAGTTATGTGTCAGTAGGGCACTTCTTGGCAGAGTATGAGCGCGCATCGCGTAAGGTCTGGGCACTATCAGAGCATGACAAGTGCTTTGTCTTCCTCGTGAACTTCACGAATGCGGAACAACGAGATTTGATTCGTGGAACAGATGGGAGACTAGTATGGGATAAGATCCAAGAGAACCTTGAACGGGAAGGTTTTGACCAGTACCTCTGCCATACCCTGCGAGAAGCGAGGAAAAGAAAGAAGACGTTGGATAGTGAGAAGACAGAGCTTGAAAAGAGGTCGAATGATCCTGTGGTAGACATCTCTGATGCTAAGAAAGATGGATCTCAGAAGGACGCTGAGATCGTCAGGCGAAATCACAGGTGGAGCAGAGAGAAGAAAAATGAGTCGGGAGGTGAGAGAAAAGAGATACAGGCTAGAGTGAGAGTTGCTGCAACCCATACCTGTGAGAGGACGCTTGACGCTCTGAGCGAGAAGGGAATAGAGGACCAAAAAATTTTAGGGAGAAGTTTGTACAACGGTGCTGCAAACTGTATCCGATCTTAATAAGGAGTGTGATGACAAAGGAGCATCGTCAGCTGTAAACCGAACTGGACGAAGGAATAGAAGAGGGCGAGACCGGTGGGCGAGGATAGCATGTGCTTGTTGTGGGAAGACTGGTCATACCCCTCGCAGGTGTAAGCTGGCAAAGAAAGGAATTGAGGGGTGAGGTTGTTTGCCTAGATGAGAATGGTGTCAGCGATCTTAGGTGACTAATAGATAGACACCTGCAAGGTCATGACAGGGTGGTAGACTCGATTGATAGAACTAATGAGCGATTATCTGCTTATGCTGTTTTTGTTTCCAAGCTTATGAATTTCATGAGTCACAAGTCCCTTCTTGTATATATATTCGATATCGAGGGTGTGTTTCTTCTTTTTGGGGTTATGCGTACATTTTGGATCTGATTATCCGCTCTTTAAGCTGACTTTAACTTTTGTCAAATATGAGTGGAGATCTTTTAAGAGGTTGTCGTCTGTACGCTGAACGCATACCCAATTGTGCGAGAACGTCTGATATTATTTTGTGTAAATGACCTGTGTGATACGCTATACAAGGCCTCTGGTTTGATTGGGATATGAATTTGTAATGACATGGAAGTTGTAAGGATGAGAGACTTGGGATGACCTGATTTTCTTCTGGGAATTATTTTTTGGTATGAGTTTTGATTCCCGCGGGTTGCAGGATCATGCGTGTTTCTGTTGTCATTAGCATTCTCATCAAAGTGGCCTTGTGATTCTTTTTGTGTATCACCTTAATTAATGGTGGAGTGAAGAAAGCGAGATTATTTGTCGGATATTTCTGGAAGGTTTAAAGAGTCAAAAAAATCACATTAAGAGAGAGGTTATGCCCAAGGGCGGCCTGACAAAGTTTGAGGTTTATTGTCAAGTGAAGAATGTTTTAAGGTTTTATAAACCTTGAGAGGAAGGGGGTGGCTTAAATTTTTTTTTTATAAGGTTAGAGTATTATCTCCGGCCAGATCGGCAGTTCCACTCTGGTGGGCCTCAGCTGCCAGTAAGCGTGTCATCTGCGGCAAGGAAACTTGTCATGTAAGAAAGCCCTTACCCGGCCAGTGGTTGTGAGTCCCGGGTGGTTCTGTGTGTGGCAGGGGGTAAGGGAGGAACCGTTCAATTCGGCATCCCGCTTGCGTAGTCACGTAAAAGCTGGTAAGGTTGGTTGTGAGTCCTTTACTCAACTTGTTATGGGCCACAAGCGGTCTAGTCTGTGATGGAGACTTCCATGATTAGGGCTCCTTGAGGAAAACTAAAGTTTTTGCTGATAGCCGGTGGGAGTGTCATCCACGGTAGGAAGGATCGGCCTGATTATGGGGCCCTCCAATCGGCTATAATTTTGATTGAAAGTGGCGTTGGGTTTTGTTTGAGAAGGGTTATGAGAGTTGCTCACTGAGCAAAAATTGTGGAAGGGATTAGCAAAGTGTGTGATAAAAGTGAAGGATCACACTCATAAAAGTAGGCTCTATGGGGAAGAGGGGTGATTTTCTTTATTTTGAAAGGCTAAGTGGATATCACCGCCCATACCTTTGATGAGTGAGTAAAATGAGTGGTTTTTGAATGATAATGGTGCCTTGGGGGACTGGGCTTAATGGGGCCCTGCCCATAAGGTACGTTTATGGTATGTATGATGGGGTCAAACACCCCAATCTTCTAGATTAGCTGAAAGATTGAGGTGTCTGATTAAATCCCACAATGAGGTGTTCTTTTGAGAGGGGGCTTGTAAAAAAGAGTATATAAATCGGTTGAGCTTGAGTAATTGATAGGTGAAAAGTGAAGAATCTACCTGGAGATTGAGGTCCTAAAATTTAACCCATCACTGGGTCTGAGTCTTAGCCAGTGGTGGGGTGATCAGTGTGTCTGGCGCGATAAAGCATCGCTCAAAGAGACGGAAAGTGTTGTAGTCCTAAGTCTGGCTTTGGACGACTCTCTGTCCGTGATTAAAGTGAGTGGAGAGTGGGTTTATCCACTTTGTTAGATAGAATTGGAAGAGTGTTTGTGCTTAGCCGATTATTCGGCTATTGTAGAGGAGTGTTTGTGTTTAGCCGATTACTCGGCTATCGTGGATTTTTTTGTGTTGATCAGGAAAGGAATAGTATTTTCGATTTTTGGGTTCTACCCGAAGTGTCTCGAGGAATCAAGGCTTAGAGTTGGTACTGCTTAATGGCTGCCTTAATCGAGTTTAGCGACGAGTTACAGGCTAAGGAAGTTATTATGTACCTCTTCTGAGAACCAAATGGGGACGATACTCATCGTGATTGCTTGTTGCGTCGGGGACGTCGCTAAATAGGGTCCGGGAAGACTGTCGTACCAGATACCCTTACAAGGGTATTTGGCATGTTTTTTGCAAGTCGTGCAGGTGCATGTCGCCCGCCTGACAGCGTGCACGCGAGCGGAGGCACAGGTTCTTGTCACGGTGAGAGGCGCGAGTGGCGGGCGCAGGGTATTGACGGCGAGTCGTTACCATACATGGCCTGGGTATGTGCGGCGTCACAGGCTAGTGGGGTTCACGATGCCCGTTTCTGGTTTTCATTATTTACTATTTATCTATCTATTTACTTCTATTTGTTCTTGCCCCGGCGGTCGGTCCTAAGGGCATTGCCGGACATTGATGGTCGTCACGACGGTCGAGGACCTTGAGTGCGCGCCTTCTAAGGCTGGCCTGCGGATTCTCGCGCGCGTGGGGTTCCGACGACATTCCTTTTAGCCTAGTTATTATGGTACCCTTCCCGCGGTACCCGCGGGGGTACCGTTTGTTCCCCGCTGTCTGTAGTAGAAAGGTTGGGCATAAGCAGGCCCGAGGGACTACGCCCCACCTCGGACATCAAAGCTCTCGCTTGAACAGTTGCTGCCACCGGCCGCCCCACCTAGGCCCACGCCTGGGCACATGGAAGGGCCGCACCCTCGGTCCCACGGTTGGCGGTGAGAGGCCGGGCTAAGGGTTGCCCGTTGAAGAGCTGAAGGGGCAGAGGGGCCGAGTGGGCAGCAATGAGCAGCGCAGCACAGAAAAGAGGGGGGGGCGAATCGGGTTCGGCTATGGATGAGCAGATTCTATGATATCGCCAGTAGTTAGTTGGCTCGGAGGTATGGAGTGAGCCTTACCCATATTCGGGGGCAGGTTCATCCGAGCTTGTACGGCCGATCGAGGTAGGGCAGCAGGAGAGAGAATGAGAGAGAGAGAGAGAGAGGAAAGGAAAAAAGTCGAAGTATACCTTCCCCAGGAACGGGTTGAAGCAGGGGTGCGGTTAGTCCACATTGTCCCTAGGGTATTGGGCAGCACGTGATACAACCTGACCATCGTAGTGGCCTGGTGCTTTCACGCTAAGAGCGGGATGCCGGGCTGGACTTCTAAACCGCCGACACCGGTGGCATGCTGATCAGAGCCGGTGTTACGGCGGGGCTCCTCGTTAAGGTTCCGGGTCTTTTGGCTGAGGTTGATGTTTCATTACGGTGGCTGCTAGTGTTGCTATTGGGCTGCCCCTGCGTCGGGATCTATATTTGACGAGGAGAGTGGAAATTCGCTATCGACTGAAGTGTTGGCCAGCCGGTCGTACGGAGCGTTTGGGGGTAAGTGGCCAGCTTGGAGGCTCACCTGCGAGCGGGTGCACATCCGGCTTAGTGGCGGTCTGCATAGCCGGGGCCCGCTCTTGTTTTGGTTGCGGCTGTTATGGTCAACGGACTGCTACAGGGGCCGTAGCGCGCGGTCATCCTCTGCTGGCAGGACCGGTTAACGTTCGTTGTGGATTGGCTGGTACTTCCCGAGGTGTTACTGCGCCCCTTGCCGCTGCAGGCGTACGCCTATTATTACGCGTCTATTGCTTGTGGGCGCTGTGTTCCTGTGCTTGGTTATACATAGTTGGGCTGTTGCAGCGTACATTGTGCTGCATCATGAGTTGGCAGCGAGCTCGCGGTGCACCCTACAGAGCTACTAAACCCTCTGTTAGGCCTGCAAGGTGGGCTGTGTCGGGTGGGTGTTGCGCGTGTAGGGCCGATTGTATGGTGCTAAGGTCAAACTGCGTCTGGCCTTGCGCATGACTACGAGGCTGATTGTTGAGCACGGTTGGGGGTGTGCGCCAATAGCTATCTTAGACTGCGCAGCAGGGGTTGGTTCAGCTGGCAAGGGGGGGGCATTGCTGCAATTTGGAGAACTGTCAGGGAGCCAACAGGTGGCGGGTTAGCTATAGTTAATTGAGTAGACCATGGGTTGTTGAGGGTTAGCTACGCATCACCAACATTCTAATATAGCGAGAGGGAGTTGAGTAGACCATGGGCTGGCATGGGTTGTTGAGGGTTAGCTACGCATGTGCATTAGCGACAAGTGACGATACTGTTTGAGATCAAGGCGGCGGGACTTGGGGGCACGATCAAGCTCGTAAGGCGGGGGTTATTGCGGCGAACTGGAGGATCGTCAAGGAATCGATAACTGGTGGTTTGACTTCAGTTGACTAGCGGCTGGGTGTTTTGGCCGCCATTGCGGGGCCCTCAGGCGTATCAAGGTATCAAGGCCCTCTCATGTGAATCTGAGTGCACCTTCCTAGATCTGAGAGTCTAAAAATTCCCTCTTTCTGCCCTTCTTAATCTAAGTCTGGTCTATCTGGTTTTGAGACGAAGGCGGCAGGCGAGATTGCAACCTGTAATCTGCGCCAAGGCCTCTGTGGGAGGTTGCCCCACCGATTGCGGGAGCCCTTCCCGGAACTCAGGAAGAGTTCTGGAGGTAGGGAATTGAAAGGTTATCATTGTCTTCCCTTACAAACCCTGTATAACCCCTATCTATACACACCCGTGTGTATTCGTTGACTGTATTGCATGCAACCTTGCTTTAACTTTTGAATTGACTTTCGGGACTCAAATCAGGCTAAGTAGAGGAATGCACGTATAATGGCAATTTCAGTTTCTTTGATTGCCTGAAAGCAGACTCTCACAAGGGATTGCATCAGGGGGATGTTTGGGAGGAAGGCAGTCTTGCTTGCGATTGAACGGGTTTTATAGGGTCAGACATTGTTTCTAAGATGAATAGCCTGAGTGCTGTTTTTTGTTCTGT